ATTTTTAAATACGTCAAACTATTCATTTTATAAATAAAATCTAATGGGACTTAGAAGAAGCAACTTGGAAAATATATTATGCGTGTTGATTTGGAGCAATCTGATCTGATCTACATAAAATCTTCTATATATATTTGGGTAAAGAATAAGTTTTCTTAATGTGATCAAATGTCTAAGCCTGTTTTTTAATGTAAATAAGAAATCGTTCAAATTGGTGTAAGCCTAAAACTAGGATTAAGGCTTTTGTTTTCTTTTTCATTGACAAATTTATTAAGATCACCACAATGGTGGAAATGTATAGAGTCATTGTATGATGGGGTGGGTTAGAACTGATGAGTAGATTTTACATTACATATTTTACCCTAATCTTAATTTATTTTGGTTATTATTTTGGAAGAATTTTGATACTTTTAAATGTATTTTCAATATATGAGTTCCGACTTCTTCTGGGGAAAAACGTGACCAAATGGATGAATTTTGGAGTAATTCTAGTTGGAGGACGTTCGTGAGTCACTTAGCTTGATCGTGTCAAAATATCATATTTTTCCACCAATCGATTATTTTCTGACAATAGAATAAAAGAGCAGTGCGCAATGCTAAAGTGACATTTTGGGCTTGATTACGAGCTTTGGAGCCCAAGATGACCTATTTTGGAGTTGGCCCCTTCTGGAGATGTGTTATGAATGTTCCGATCTTATAAAAAAAGCTATCATGGGCCGGATTTGGAAGAGATTTGAGGGTAAAACATGACTGAACAGTTTCCTTGCAGATTCTCCTAGCTTAATTAGAATTTTATTCTCTATAATATTTTATTTTTATTTGGTTTCCTAGTTTGATAAAAGGACTTTATTAGGGATTATGTTATAGCTGATGAGAGGGATATAAGGCTTTGGCTGGCCTTACTCTTTTGACGACTTCTTTTAGGCGACTTTGGAGATAGGAAATTGGCTAAGGTTCTTGAAGATTTTCAGACTTTTACTTTAAGGTGTTTTTAATCCTTTTTTTTCCATAATAATATTTTTAATTATGAATATGCGTAACTAATCTGTTTTGTTAGGGCGAAGCCGTGAGCCTTAACATGAATATGTAATTTTTATTTAATTGCTTGTGATTGATTGCATGCATGCTTTGAATTATTTATCACTGTTTTAAACTATCTAATTGTCATAATGCTTGATCACCAATACGTGGAGCTAGGAATTTTTCACTGAGTGGATCTTATGCTTGATCACCAATACGAGGAGCTAGGAATTTTTCACCGGGTGGGCTAGCTTAAAGATTTATATCTTTATAAACAAAAAAACATGATCTTGTATTTTCACAGTATCAGCTAGCTAAAGAAAATTTTGACAAGGTGAGCCATGAATTTTTGTTATTAAACAAATTAATACGTGTTTAAATTCAAATAATTCCAAACTTGTACATATACAAAAATTGATGAGAAAAAAGAATGTAAGAAAAAGAGATGGTTTGTAAATTGTATTATATCATTTTATATAATCAAACCAAAAGAATTTGGATTAGTGACTAAATATATGGTAAGCTACATTCGAAAATCAATAAAAATTACATGTCAAATTTTATTTTTCACTAAAAGCTACCTGGGCTATAGCCCAAGGTAGCCCTTAAAGTGGCTCCGCCAGTGACCAATATGATCTTTAGAAAAGTAATTTGATGTAATTTTGGTCAAAAGGTTCTCTGAAATTGACGCTAGCTTCTTGTGGTTAGTAATTGTAATTTTACTTAGGATGAACATCACGTTTTAAGGGTTCTATGGTTTTTCAAAGGGTTTTCATAAAACTTAATGAGTGTTTTATGTTTATATTTGATCCGAACGTCCGGACGCGTTACATGTTAGATATACGTTATATGTTGGAGATTCCAAGTAGGACATATATTAAGAAAATCTAACCTTCAAAATATGCATGGGTAATTCATAAGTGATAGGAAGAACTACGTATGATTGTTAAAGTGATAGCAGAATCCTATTGTCTCTTTAAATTGATTTTCTTTAAATTGTTTTCTAGTCAATTTATTTAATTATTTTTATTTTAAATTCGTTTTTAATATTTTAAATATTTTAAATTTCAAAATCAACATTTTCCAAACTTTGTTTTAAATAATTAATTAAGAGTTGGTTTTAAATACAAATTATTCATTCAATTCCTGTGGAAAACGATCTTACTTCAACTACTATAATACGACAACCTTACACTCCTGCAAGTATTTTAAGTGTTTTTATCACTCATTTTGTAAGTGGTAAAAATCATATCAAGAATCTTATTGTTAACTAATCTAACACCTAATCTGACATAATTTATAAATAAATTAGTATGCGGAGCGATCGAATCGAAATTGTTTCACTTCATTAAAAACTAAATTGAAATAAGCTAATATATCAAAAAGCATGCGAAGCTATAAGGAAAAAAAAAGGGTAAATTACAATTTACCCTCTCAAGTTTGAGGTCAATTACGATCTCATACAACATCTTTAAAACATTTTAATTTTATATATTTAATACTATTTCATTTCAATTTCATTCAACCATTACTTAATCTGTTAAATTGACCGTTAAAATGGTGATGTGGCAAATATATGGCCCACTTTTTGATGACTTGTCAAATAAAAATAATTGAATATTATTTAAAAATAAACCTAAATTAAAATAAAGTGGACCCCACACAGAAATTTGTTCTTGTTGTCATCGTTCATCCAACACTGCCACAGCCATCGTCGATTGGAGCCTTGCACCCTGCCCTCCTCATCCTCAGATTCCACGGCCTCGCCACGACGGCTCCGGCGATGTGACCTATGGCGTTATCAGCTGCATAGCCGTTTGACGGCGGAGCTCGTCGAGATTAGTGGGAACCATTCTTCCAGATCCACGCCGCCAGCTTCGTCGAGCCATACTTCGACTCCTCCCACCCCCGTCTATCTGTAACCCCACCCATCCTCGTTAGAAATCAAACAGCTAAAATCACTTTTCTCCCAACTAACCTAAACCCTCGCCTATGGCCCTTGAAAACTCGTCAGCAAAACCCAGATGCAAATCTGCTTCCCAAATCCCACTCTTAAAATCCTCAATTCCCTAATCCCAAAACATGTTGAAAACCAGGATGAACCCAACGCCCCTCACTTCCCAAATCTCACACGCCACATACAACCACCCTCTCATCCACTTTATCCATCAACAATCCCTCATCCTTCTTCGTCGGATTTGAATCGGACCTCAAGCCAAGTGGTGGATGTGGTCCAGGCAACCAGCTGGAGGACAGCGTGAAGGAGCTCAAGAGCCCCAAAACTTCACCTGGGTAGGGGAATTTGGAAGCCGCATCCGCACCTTCGCGCACCTCCGCCTCTTCAGGTGGGTCGAGCGGTCCGGGTTGTTCAAGCACGACCGAGAGAAGAGGATTTTTGGGGGTGGGGTATGGGAGAAAGGGGTGGCTCGGGTGAGATTTTTGGGGGTGGGGAAGACGAATGAGATTTTTGGATTTACCGCGTTGTCATTTAACGATTTACTTAATGAATTTTTTAAATATATAATATTAAAATAAAATGATAAGTAAATATAAAAAATTAAAATATTTTAAAAATATAAAAAATTAACAAAGCTGGACGTTAAAAAGCGTATCCAGACATTTATTTGTCATCATGTGCTCATAGTGTCAATCGTCCATGACACGGACCCTACCTACTTATCACTGATCATGGAGAAATTATTAGATGGTACAGCATTACCACCTGGCACTGACTGTTGGTAGTACCTACCAATAAATGCATGACATGTGGCAAGTTAATTATTAAATAAAAATTAATGGCTGGATTTTACAAGAACCTAACGCCGTTAGGTCTCTGCCAAAAAACTGATGTCTGCCTCTTCTCCTTCCCCACGCCTTCTCCTCCTTTTCCGCCGCAATTGATTCCTCGTATCCCACCTCCTCCTTTTTCGCCAAAACCAAAAGCTTTTGTTGCGCTCCCAATCCAATCCCTCATTTCTCAAGAAAATGAAAGCTCTACACCGTTAAAAAAAAAAACGTCATCCATGTTTACTTGAATCAAAACCCAGAAATCTCATGCTACATGTACTGGAAATTTTTGCTTGAATCTTACTGCAATTTGGTATTTTTTTTTTCTTGAATATGACTGCGAAAACCAAAAATATGTGTTTCTGTTATTATTTTCTTCTTAAAGAAAAGAAGGACAAGAGACAAAATCTTATGAATTGCCAATTTGTTTAACTAAACTCATAAAGTGTCTGTGTTCTTACTAATTCATTGTATTTGATTAAGTGGGATTTTGGTATGTACCAGGAATTAAAAGAATGTCTATCAAGATTTGATGAAACTCCAGGCAATGCCCTATGTCCTTTGGGTATAATGCCTATGGATTAAAAGAGAACTTCTATGGGAATTTTTTTCATTTGATTAAGCTTTTCTCTCTACTGTTTTTTTTTTGTTTGGGGGGGGGGGGGGGAAGTCTCAGATTGCAAGAATGAAAGACAGCTTGAATTGGATTTTGGGTTGCTTCAGATTACTACTTTCAGCTATAGCTACCGTTCATTTTGGGTTAGATGTATAGAATTGGATTTGTTGTATCAAATGCTACAATTTTGTAGTGACATACAAAGTGTTAATAGGCTTTTGCTATTGTAAGTACAAGTGAGCATGTGGTTGTAAATTGTAATGAGACAAAATGGTATCTTATACAACTCAATGTATGGCTGACATGATTTCTTATGCCTTGGCGCTATGCTCCTTATATGCTTTATTCACTATGATATATAGCATGACAGTACATTACTCAAATGACATGCGCACTCTATCTTAAAACGAGAAAGATATGGAAAAAAATTAAGAGCAAAGTTATTGTTTCCAGTTACTGTAATCTCAATGCTTCCTTCCCTCCAAAATAACAAAGTTGTCCAACAAATATTCACCACAGTATACATCCGGTTCAAAATCAAAATAAGTAAAGGCTTCTAATTAAAAAAAAAAAAGATTTAAAGGTTTCCAACCCAAAACATATCATCTTCCACCTGCACCCAAAAATAATAAATCAAGTTTAGTAGTGAAAAACAAGAAAAATTTTAGGGTAACTTAAAAGCATTTAAAAGTGATTTACTACTCTTAATGTATTGTAGAAATTACTCCTCTGGATTATTGTGTCGCCCATAAACATATGGATGTGAGTCCTGCATTACATATGACTTCACATTAACTAAATGCTAAAAAAACAAATATGCCTTGTGTGATAAACAAATCAAACCTGGCTGAGTTGAGGATTTAGTCCAAAGGGTTCGTGTGTGCGATAAAACTTGAGGATGAATTCTGCCACATGTATATAACAAATGTATAAAACAAACAAGAATTGCCATGTGTATTCATAAATTCCGCCTTCTCAAAGTAAATCGATCAATACCTGACTCGCCATAAATTGACTATCTTGTAGCATAGTTGTAAATGAAAAACTAGGTTGGATTACTTGGTTATATGGAGGCAATGCATGATTGTTTGTTGTTAACAAGCTAACAGCTGGGAAGACCTGTGTAACATTTATAAGATGATATGCAATTAGTCGAATTTAGAGAAGATAAGAGCATTCAAGGTCTTAAAACATACATCACTGTAAACTAACAAATTAGTTTACTTGGTTTGATGGAGGCAATGCATGACTATTTTTTGTTAACAAGCTCATAGTTGGGTAAACTTGCGTAACATTTGTACTAGTGGGTACACTGAGTTGTTGAAGAAAATTTGAATCATATGGTGTTGAACTATGTGAAGGGCCTATATTGCTTGGCTTCTTGGTTTTCCCTACAAAACAAATTTAAAATTTTTAAGTAAAAAAGAATATTAGAATTACATCTAATAGTCAATAAAAATATAAAATTTTACTTACCAGATGAGACAGTATCTTTAGATGCCTTTTTTTTTCGTTTCTCCATAGCATTTTTTAATCTGGCATTGCTTACTCCTTTCGGCCTTACCAACGGAGGATTCAATATTGGTGGCTCATCAACTGAGCAACCATTTGCATTACAATCATCATCATTGTTATCATTGCTCTCTTTATTAACTTCACCCTTTGACTTGATCATATCCTTTTCAATCAATTCCTCCATCTCTCCCAATTTTTTCATGGCAACTCTAGTAGCACTTTCGGACTCTGCTCCCTTACTCAATATATTATAAGCCATTCGCATCAAAGCATTTCGACGCAATGTAACAGATGGTTCACCTTTTACCTGCAATAATTGACTATGCTCATTTGCATGCAATCCTTTCTTTGCATCTTTTGTCCAACGCTTCAATATATGTTGTGAAGGTATTTCTGTCCAAGATTTGATGTTTAGTACCCTTAGAGCATGACGACACAACAAACCCATGGACTCATACATTTTGCAGCTACAAGAAACCGTGTCATCTGATGAGTTAAGTTGGACAAGGTAAACTCTTGTGTGACCCTCCTCATTAAGTTCAAAAGAGTGTATTGTACCACAACTCTCATATTCATGCATTGTCACTGCTAAGCTATTCAAAAACTCTTTTTCAAATATTTTAAACATTTTCCTAGTGTAGACAGTAGTAGCATGCTTCAAAATTCCACTCATTTGGGCAACTCGAGAAGGGAGACCCTGATTGCAACGATAAGACTCTTCTGATTCACTTGTACGCATTTTTGCTGCTTGTTTATCATAATGATGCACAAATTCAATAAGTCTCATTGTCTTGGTAGAAATTTGGTGGAAAACATTATTCGTGCTCTCACTTCTTTGTGAAGATTGTATCCGACATGTGAAAGTATCATGGCTAAATGACGGACACCATTTGGCACGAAGCGCATACAACATATTCATCCGTGAGCACATCCGTGAGCACCCTGTAAGGTTGACTTCTGCAACTAGCTCATCCCAAGTCGACCGGAATTCCAATTCCGTCTCACAATATTTAAGACATTTATTGAACAAACGTCTAAAATCAGGGTTCGCATAGAGACTTGACATATTTTTTTCACAATTCTGAGAAATGTGCCACGAGCATAAACGATGACATACCCCAGAAAAAACTTTTTCAATGCCATTTGCCATAGCTTGACACTGATTAGTAAAAATTGTCTTTGGCTTTTGACCTCCCATTGATTCCAAAAAAGTATCAAATAACCAAGTAAACGTTTCTGTTTTCTCATCCAGTAAAAATGCACAACCAAACAATACATTTTTCCAATGGTGATTAACGCCGACAAAACGAGCACAAATCATGTTATACCTATTGGTACGATATGTAGTATCAAATACTACAACATCCCCAAAGCACTCATAGTCAAGTCGCGACCTTCCATCTCTCCAAAAAAAGTTTGTCATTCGATTTTCTTGATCCACTTGCACAGTGTAAAAGAACATATGATCTCCTGCTTGCTTGTGCTTGAAAAGGTTGATCAAACTTTGAGCATCCCCTGCTTCAAACATGACCATTTTTTCCTTATTCACAACATTGTAGCAATCTCTTTGTGTAAAACCTACATTCTGAGACCCACCAGCTTCTTCTACTAAATAAGAATATGTATTTGTAGTTCTTATTCCTGCAGCTGCCATGGTTTTAATCACACCCAATTGGGCTTCAGAAACTTTTCTATTTGATCTAAAAAACTGCCTCTTTTCTGGTTTAGCAAGCTCGTGATTGTGTTGAGAAAAAAATTGAGCAACTTTCAACGTACCATCCGTTTGTACTGCAAATCGAATTCCAGCTTTGCATCCTGTTCTTGTCTCTAGTTTATAAGAATTGCTTGCTTCTGACGGGTCACCATCTACCTTAAAACCTTCTTTTGAACAAAGATAACAAACTTGTCTTAGTTGATTCTTTCTATTATATCTCTTTTGTCCCTTACGAACACTGAATCCAAATGTCGTAGCATAGTTGTTGTAGAGATCATAAGCTTCCTTTTCATTTAGTACAACTTTTCCCACGAAAATGTCATCGAAATTCTCCGTTCGATTCACAATGACTGGATCTTCTTCTCTATTATTTTCTTCATCACTTTCTATATCAATGATTGGATCTTCTTTCTGATTATTTTCTTCATCACTATCGGTATCAATGAATACTGTACAAGAAAAATTTGTACGTGAATGAAAAATTTGTACGTAATTGAATGGTTAAATAATGGATGCAAAAATAACAGACATATGATAGCAGTCGAATAACAAGTTAAAAATGAAAAGAGAAATTGCTAAAAAGACAAACCAAATAGGCTGATAGGTTAAATATTTTACCAGTATCCATATTCTTCCTTGGTGAAGCTTTGCTTTTTTGTGAATGGTGCGGAGCCTACTTTTTGAGAATGGCCCAGAATTTAAACAAGCTGGAATCGAAAAGGGTAAAACAAAATTCAAGCAAGAAATTGCAGTAAGATTCAAGCAAAAAATTCCAAATTGCAGTAAGATTCAAGCAACAATTTCTTGAAAATCATTGAAGGAGTCTGTTCCTTCTCTCCTTTGCATGTATACGTTATCTCTTGTCCTACTTTTCTTTATGATCAATACAAACACATACTAGCTTATCAAATTCAACACCAAATGACATATAACACTGCCTGGGTTTTACATTTAAGAAGAAAATAATAACAGAAACACATATTTTTGGTTTTCGCAGTCAGATTCAAGCAAAAAATACCAAATTGCAGTAAGATTCAAGCAAAAATTTCCAGTACCTGTAGCATGAGATTTCTGGGTTTTGATTCAAGTAAACAGGGATGAGGTTCTTTTTTTTTTTTTTTTTTTTTTGAACGTTGCAGAGCTTTCCTTTTCTTGAGAAAGGACGGATTCGATTGGGAGCGCAACAAAAGCTTTTGGTTTTGGCGAAAAACCAAAAGGTGGGATACGAGGAATCAGTTTTGGCGGAAAAGGAGGAGAAAGGCATCAGGAAGGAGGAGAGGCAGACAGTCACAGCAGTTTTTTGGCAGAGACCTAACGGTGTTAGGATCTTGTAAAACCCAGCCATTAATTTTTATTTAATAATTAACTTGCCACATGTCATGCATTTATTGGTGGGTACTACCAGCTGTCAGTGCTAGGTGGTAATACTATACCATCTAATAATTTCTCCTGATCGTGTCCCTCTTGTTATTTGATTTTTGGATCATTACTAACAAGGCGCAATCTCTTCGAAAATATCAATTAATTTTAACAAGGCTAATTTTTTTAATTTGTAATTCACTGGGATTATGTAGGAGACTACATATTTATACTATATTGATGTACCATTTATGTGAAGTGATGTATATAATTAATTGATGTGGCACGTACAAATGGTACATTAATATGGTACATGTGGTCTCCTAACATTGAATATGCGATCCCTCATTAGTCTAATTGTGTCCGTCAAAAAAAAGATTGTATGTATGAACTTATGGATATCCTTAACCAAATTAAGATGTGTTATTTAGTCAGTTGCCAATTATTTCGTGTTTTTTTTTTTTGAAAACTGAAAACTTGTTTAGTAATTAATTTTAGTTTTAAAAAAAATATAAAAATCAAAATTGAAAGTTACTTTTATGAGATTTCAAATTTTCGCTTGGCTTTTAATATTATTTAGTAGTATGGTCTAGCAGTATTCTTCTTTCTTTGTAAGTGAGAGGTCTTAGACTCGAATCTCCTTGATAGTGAGTTCGAAACCAATTTATCTCACCGCTAAGTGTAAATATATATAGTGTGTTTTCTTTTACAAATGATAGCACTAGTGAATTAAGTTGTTAAAAGGAGAAAAACTAGTGGAGATTAAACCCAAACTATGATGCATAAGCATGATTGTTTTTCATCATAGCGGTACAACACAGTATGTGTAAATATATCGTTATTTGAAAAAAAAACAAAAAATTTGGCTTGCAATATTCAAAGTAGTAACTAAACAATTTTTCGTTTTAAAAACTAAAATAATTATCAAATAGACCCTGTAAATATATCGTTATTTAAAAAAAAAACAAAAAATTTGGCTTGCAATATTCAAAGCAGTAACTAAACAATTTTTCGTTTTAAAAACTAAAATAATTAGCAAATAGACCCTGAAAAAAATATTTCATTAAAAAAAAAAGCCCTTTATTAAGAAGCAGCTGGAAACGCCTCATGCATTGTGTCATTTCAATAAAAATAAATAAAAAAGATTCTTTTCTTTTGTCTTTCCTGTAGCGGATTGGGAAATCAACCTTGGAAATACCGCCCCTTACGTTAAACATAAATCGTCAACATCCTCAACTTCATCGTTATATATATTATCCCCCCCGACCATTTTTTACAAAAACAGGCCATTTGCTTATTCATTTCATTTTTGTAAATTCCAGCATGGGTGTCTTCACTCGTACAGATGAGTATACTTCCCCAATCCCTCCGGACAGGTTGTTCAAGGCCTTGGTCCTTGATGCTCACATCCTGATCCCAGAGCTCATGCCAGAGGCTGTTAAGAGCATTGACACCCTCGAAGGTGACGGAAGAGCAGGAAGCATCAAGAAGATCAACTTCGCTGAAGGCATGTAAATAATACCTGGCTACCATACAACACTGCGAGTGAAATATTCTCGTACTAGACTATCAATCCAAAGATTCTATACCACTATTTGAGCAGATACTTTCACTTTTTTTTTTCATAAAAGAGAAGATTAGGCGATGTTAGCTCTTTAAATTAGGATGATGCAAAGCATCCAATCTCAAACTAGCTAAGGTGAAGGATGTTTTGGTTCCCCTTTGCCGTCCCTCTAAATAAATATACACTTATTTGAATATGTTGTATCAGATTGATAGTTTGGCCGGCAACATAATATATATGCCGGAGAACACACCCCCACATGTTGATCATTTTATAATGTACAAAGTTGTTGAATACATGTAATAATTTTTTCATGTAGGTAGCCAGCTCAAATCTGTGATAAACAGGGTTGACGAAGTCGACGAAGAGAACTTTGTATATGCTTACACTTTGGTTGAAGGAGAACCATTAGTAGTGGAGAAACTTGAATACATCACTTATAAGGCTAAGTTTGAAGCTGCATCAGATGGGGGTAGTAAGAACCGGTTGGTCAGCAATTACTACACCAAGGGTGACATTGTGCTGAAAGAGGAAGAAATAAAAGCTGGCAGGGAAAAGGCCTTGGGGATGTACAGAGTTGTGGAAACCTATCTCCTCCAAAATCCTGATGCTTATGCTTAAATTTTTAGGGGTGGGGTAGGGGGCGGTGGGGGTTTCGCCTTCACTAGCTTGTGGGGATTGATAAATAGAAATATGCTTGACAATGCCTGTGACTACGGCCATTGGAACATACTTTCTCCATGTATTGACTTCAATAAAAAGAATTTCTCCATGATTTTGACATACTCATTTTCATCTCCTACAAACTTTCCGTTAATTTTGGTCATTTGATCCTCCTCTTTCAACAATTTAATGGTCAGAAATAAATAAAAATGTATAGAGAATAAGATGGGTGCGGGAAAATTATTGCCCCTTGCCTCTTATTTATTTATTTATAAAGCCTATAAGGTTTAGAATGGGCTCAGCTTGAAAGGAACATAAACTATGGGGCCACAATCTCCCAAAAACCAATCCTTGACTGATGGGCTCAGGGATGGCCATTTGACCCATGGGTACTTGTATCCATGGATTCTTTTATTCTAATAGGATCATAAATAAAATGGATTAGATGGGTTTGGGTATTTTGTTGAGATCAAGTCTTCTGCATCGAAAATATATATGACCTCTCTATAACTCTAATAAGTTTGACACATATTAAATTTATTACAATAAAATTAAGAAAAGTTGAGATAATAAATACATGTCAGTCACTTATTATAGTCACAAAAAAACCACACCTATTTTGAGTGCAGAAAATTTAGTCTCTTTTTTGTTGGGGTCTATTATACCCACTTATTAAGAAAAGATCATAAACACTCCTCTCATGGTTTCGCCTCCATGTCTCCTTCCTATTGCCTTCATTGTCTCTCTGTCTGTCTCCTTTCTCGGTCTCCTTCACCGAGACCGGCAAACCTTCCATTGCCGGCATCTCATATCCACCTCCTCCTTTTCCATTCTGTCTCTTTCTCTTTTGTTTTTTGTTTTTTTTTTGTTGTTTTTTTTTTTTTTTTTTTTTTTTTTGTTTTTTTTTTTGTTTTTTTGTTTTTTTTTTTTGTTTTTTTGTTTTTTTTTTTTTTTTTGTTTTTTTTTTGTTTTTTTTTTTTGTTTTTTGTTTTTTTTGTTTTTTGTTTTTTTTGTTTTTTGTGTCTTGCTCTCCTTAGCATTTCAGATCCGCAAGGAAGGAATTAATGTCAACCAAATTCTTCTTCTTCTTCTTCTTCTTCTTCTTTTTTTTTTTTTCTTCCTTCCTCCTTCTCCTTCTTCCTTCCCCTTCTTCTCCTTCTTCCTTCTTCTTCCTTCCTCTTCTTCTTCTTCGTCTTCTTCACTATAATTGACGTTAAAAAAGTAGTCGAATCATGTTTACTATAATTGACGTTAAACTGTAAAACAACAAAGAGTTTATAAAGGTTATACTTTGAAAAAGTCACGTAAGCATTTCTCGTAATAGAATAAAATACAACAAAAAGTGATAGAGGCCCATCAAATCATAAAGATCAGAGATGCTGGTGAAAGCTCTTATGCTAAAATGATGAAGAAAAGAGGAAGGTTTTGGGTTTTCTTTGTTCTGATCCTTCTGCTGCCTAAAGGCTGGAAAGCATATGTTGAGGGACCATTGATACAAGTTTTCTTATTTGATTTTTTATATTTGTTATTTGATTTAGCCTCACGTGCATGGCACATGACTCATTTTAACGAAAATTCTAACGGAGTTGATGAAAAAGACAATAGTTGCTCGTTTTGATGAGTTGAGGGATCAATGGTAATGGATTTTTAGTTGAGGGACCAGTGCTCTAATTTGATTAAAGCTGAGAGACCATTTCTCCAATTTGATTAAAATTGAGAGACCATTGATACAATTTACCAAAAAAATATCAATATTGTACAGTAAGCTATGATTATAGGTCAATATTGTTATAGTGAGTAAAACAAAGAGCTAAATCATATATGATTTGATCATATAATTCATGTAAGAGTGGTACTAAACCCATCCATTGTTTTATTTGTCCACCCAATTATATTCCCACCCACTATAAAAAGGTAAATAATAACATTGCTATTTTCCCACCCACCATTATTCCAATTATAACCTTTTAAATATCTTAAGTTCTTTAAATTTTATTTTCTGTAATATGTATATATAAATATAAATATATATACGTATATATACATGTAAATATATTTATCTCAAGAAAAAAACCAACCATGGGACATATTTAGTAGTAATTCAAACAACAAACAAGAATCCATCAAGGCAGACATGGAAGGTGTGACGACCCGTCTCTACTTTTCACTGTAATTTTCTTTTTGTTGGTGTAAATTGACGGTCATACCCTTATTGGACAAAAATGGAATCTAACGTGGATGTGGTTTTCGGCTTTCAGTTTCATTTTCCTGGGTTCGTACTAAAATAGTACTCATCGCTACGAATGCGTAAGCGCGTGTTAAAGTCGAATCAGATCTGTAACGAAAAAGTTACGCTCCGTTAAAGTATGTTAGTCACAGGTAATTTTATACACGCGCGTACGAATTTACGGTGTCAAAACATTGTCGAAATGACATATTTGTACATAAAAATTTGTACAAATCCATCTAATCCCTAAAAGGGATCCGGTCCCTTCTTTCACACCCATCAACCATCAAACTTTTGCTTTTTCCTTCTTTTCCTCTCCACCAATCAAATTGTTTTCCCTCAACCTTGCACCTAATCAGAAATCAAAAGGTTCTCTCTCTCACTTAAAACTCTCATTTTAAACTCTCTCTCTCGGTGAACAACCATAGAGACACCACCACCACCACACAAACGTCGCTCCGACGAGTTCCTTCACCTCTGTCACGCCACATTACCATCACCACTACTAGCAGGGTTGCTCCGATGAGATATGCGAGTTTCTCAGCCTAAGAACTATGACTTACACTGCCAATGACCATTACCACTGCTCACTTTCCTTCTCCAGTGAAACTTCATTTTCTGATCAAGAAACGATTTGAAGAAAGAAACTCCCCAGATTTTTGGAGGAGAACTGTGGCCATCAGGCCACTTTCAAACCGTTTCATCGACCAACACAAACCACGACTGAGCTTCAAATAGGTATAGCCTTGTTCACTACATTTCTAGCTTTATATTCATTTTTGTATCACTGAAAATGGTTAAGAATCGAACTAGAAATTAGCCTTCAAAGTTGGGAAGAAATTCCTAGATTTCTGGAAATTTGGATCCGTGGTCATTTGGCCACTTTCAGGCCAAATTCCTGGTTAACACAGACCACATTTGAACTTTTTGTGAATATGGATCGATTCATAACATTCCTAAATTTAATTTGGCTATTATAGAAGTGTTTTTGGTTGAGAATCAAGCTCGTTAGGGGCTCGGGAAGTTGGCCAAAAAAACTGCAGAAAATCGTGGAGAATGCGAGTACACGCGTATTCGCAAGCGCATGAACGCGCGTGACCACCCACATGCCATCGGCTCGTGCAACGCGTGGTAGGTTGTGCAGCCTCTTGTGACGGCACGTGACGGCGCGTCTGGCTTCCGGCCGACGTGTGGTTGACACGTGTGTGTCTGTGACGTCGAGTAAATCGATTTTATATATTTAAACCCTAGGTTTGAGCAATCTATAGAGGTTTTATTTAAGTTTCCGTGTATGTTTTATTAAACTAAGTTAATAAGTAATTTCACATATAAGGGAAACATATCCCGAGGATTTGAGAGGTTAAGCAAGGCTAGGAGGCTTCGTTTCGACTGCGTATCTGTGAGTGGGCAGTTTATTTATACGTATACATATTGAAAGTTTCCCTAAATGCGTAGTTACTTCACTTTTACGCTTATATTGCCAAGTATTCATTATTGTGATATTAAATGTGATAAATGTTGTTATATGGTTGGGATATTACTGTCATGACTTTCATACATATCTGTACATGCTCATCTTGCTGGGCCAGTCCTTCATGTGTATGTTCACAGCCTTGGATCCAAGTTAGGTGCCAGTCCTGTTGGGCATATTGCATTAGGTGTTCCGACTTGTATGTGACGTGCTTCTGCACCAGTCTTCACGTGATCGTAGTACTAGAACATATTGATTACACCCAGTCCTGTTCGTGTCAGAAATTATTTGTTCAAACTCATGTGTCAGCTTAGATGGATGAGCACTTAGCTATACTTGATTATCACATGACTATATTACTACAACATTTGATATATCATGACTTGGCATATTTATGGTTATAATGTTGTTGTATTATTGTTTATATTTGTACCATACTTGACCAATCCCGAAACTACTGAGCACCGGTCAACGTTATACCGTCAAGGACCCAGAAGAGTTTCCCTCCAACCAGGAGGCCAATCACAGTGCAACACGTGTCAACATCAAAAGTCAATCATAGCACGACACGTGTCAACATCAGAAGCCAATCACAACACGACACGTGTCAATGTCAGAACAAAGCTAGAAACTCTTCTATAAAAGGAGATCATTCTCCCACAATATTTCCAAATGTCATTTGTACTAAATCATTCACTTGTACTCACTAAATGAGAGCTTGAACCTATGTACTTGTGTAAACCCTTCACAATTAATGAGAACTCCTCTACTCCATGGACGTAGCCAATCTGGGTGAACCACGTACATCTTGTGTTTGCTTCCCTATCTCTATCCATTTACATACTTATCCATACTAGTGATCGGAGCAATCTAGCGAATGTCACAAACTTAACACTTTCTGTTGTACCAAAATCCTCACTGATTTTGTGCATCAACAGTTTACATACTTACATAGTATGTTTTAAAGAAACTATACTTGTTTTACGGTGAGAGGTTAGTATATTCAAAAATAAAGGTTTTTCCAAAACGTTGTTTTACTGACCCACTCAACTTTGTTCTTCGCCCCTCCAGGTTTAGTAGCTGTGCTTGCGTGTAAACGAGGAATTTGGCAAGATCTTAGTAGATGGGTACCTTAGTGGTATAACCCTCACCCTAATTACTGTACTGTTCTTATGCTTTACCATTACGTGTGAAATAGGTGCAATCCCGCTCACCCGCACACTCTTTTGTTTTAGGCACTTTTAGGTTTAAATTTATTCACTTTTTCACATCACTTACCCTTATGGTTACGTCACCTCACGGTGATGGCCAACATGCTTCGACCCTCCCGGGTCATGGTGTGTCAGAAGGTCCACAATTACG